TGTTTTTGTGTAAGTTAATACGTTGTCAAATATGTTTAAACTTAAACTACCTATACAAGTAGTTATGTCTCTTTCTATTAATTTGTCCTGTTATTGACGTAATGCGCATCATTGACAAAATGCGCAACCAGATGTTCGAATAGTTCAAATATATGTGGTTTCTTTAGAGGGAATATTCAAACGTTATTTTTGAGCAATTTTAACAGCCCTAGGTTAGCCCTTCAGTGGGAGCACGGTAACATGTTCAAGTATCTGCAGCATCATACACTCATGTGTAAATGTGTTTTCATGAGGTTTTCAAAAATAAAGCTCTCTTGAGGAAAGTGTACCCCTGTGAAAATATATTCATAATTTATAATATTTATATTCAAGTTCATAGATTTGATATTTATATTGTAGTTGAAAACAGCCCTGTGAGAAATTCATAGTAAAGTTCATTAAAAGTAAAAAGTTCATAGAATTAACATTGATGGAGAAGGTCAGACTATTTCCTTCAGAAAGACCGTTGGTTAGCTAGCTCATTTAAAATATCCTTAACTTTTTTGACCCCACCTCTTAAAGGAATCGGAATCGAGAATCGTTAGGAACCGGAATCAAAACAAGGAATCGGAATCGTTCAAATTTAAACTATACCCAACCCTACGCCGGGATCTTTGAGTCTCCCTCTCAATGTCCACTGCAATTTTTGCTACCATTTCTTAAAATATACTTCAGCTGCTTTCAACGGCAGCTCACAGAATAAGCGCAAGGCATCAGTCCTGAAGACAACACAACACATCCAAACACGTATTTGATTTCCTCCATAAGCTGTTCCACACCGCAGACAGGCATCACCCTATTGGCAGACACCCAGTGTGCAGAGCAGAGACAGTGTGACATTAGCCTGACGTCGTCATACTCAGATTTTAGTCAGAATGTGAGTCTGATTCTGCTCCATTGGGCTGTGATCATGGTGCGTGTTTTAACCGAACCAGTAAAGAAAATGCCTCTGCGCTCAATTGGATAGACCGAATCCCATAGGAAGGATGGCAAAAACATCTTTCCGATCGACAAATGCCTTGATCGCGGTTCTCTGTTCCTCTTTTAAAATGAATGCGCTGCCTACATCTCATATAACAGATGCGACGGCGGAATCTACACATCTCAATTCTCCAGCGGCAGCCATTCTTTGTTGTAAACTAATTCAACCCAAGCGCTCTTTGGTGACGTGGATGATTACATTACTGTTGATCATCTGTCCATCATCGTATAAAGCCTGCACTGACAATTTGATTGGTCCAAACAGCTTTGATTCGGGCATACTTGCTTCACAACGGATCAAGTCCAGACCGAACTTCCCACCCTCAAATGTTGTGGGCAGGGCTAAGTTCGGCTGGCATCCAGGCTAGTGTGACATTGTTTCCTCAATTTCTGGAGTCATATATAGGAAGTGGGGTGATGGAAACCAGGTGGAAGTGAAAGCATGAAGATAGTCAAATGATCCATGTGTGGGTGTAACACTCTGACTGATAAGTAACAAAGGAAAAAGAAGGAGACAGGCATGAAACAGTGCCAGTCATTTCCCATAACCCCCTCGGTCATGTCACTCAGCTGAGTCACACACTAAGGCCAAATTACATGGCTCAGATTTACTCTCAACAGGTGAGTGACCTCACGCTCATAATGACAGTATGTGACAGGCCTGTCAGAGAGCTGGATACGATGTGGATATTGCTCTATAGTATAATACAGGGTTCCCTTCCCACTATTTTTGAACAATGAATCTCCATGATTATTTTCAGTCTTCCTTCTAACCCTTTGTCTGAAATGATCCATTTTAAGGGGTGGGTCCTTTAAGGGTTGTAAATAAACGGACACAATTATGATTGGCTAATGTCATCATTGCATATGAAACTGTATCAACGGCCAATTCACTATTGCACAAGTAAGTGTTTTGAAAACATTGTCCACAAACCATCTATTTGTTTCAGACGATGGGATGCTTCTGAAGTCTGTACAGAGACGCAAACGAGCTGTTTAAAGTGGACGAGTCAAAGTGAATCTTCTTTCTCCCTTTTATTTGTCCTGTTGTCGACATACACAAGTGCATGGAGTATGTCAGAAACTGAACGTGCATCTGTACACTATATCAGTGTAGACCGCGTCAGTGATTATATTGGGTTCTATTTGCTTTTGATGTGACACGATGCTCACATCCAGTGTAGGCAAATGACAAATGACAGCCGTTAAGCAACTGAACACTAGTGGGCGGGGCCTATGGTGTGATGATGTATAACTATTCTTCAATGGTTACTCTTTTGTAGAATATATATTTCTATATGTGAGTAAATGATCTATAAATAACAGAATAAATTACAGAACGTTTTGGTGAATTATCATTTTATTGGGATTTGCACTCCATTTGGTGGTGTGGCTCATATGTACACAAATAATGAGGGACTACCGCAAATTTGCCATTCATTTATAATATTTGTCTCCTCAAATATAAACAAACTGATTATGTTCATTCAGATGTAACAGAATATTTAATTAAAATATGGCATGCAGTATCGAGCGATGATGCTCATTTCTTTAGTATCACATAAGAAAGGCACTGTCTGTTTTGTTCTGTTTGGCTGCAGTTGAAAGAATAAAAAACCTGAATCTGAAATTGGTCTGGTCATGTTTCGTTTTACTAACAGGGTCACTGACTGCACTCTGCACTCTCAATTCATATCACAAGTCATTATAGCCCATATTAGCACCCAAAGGCCATATTTGCAGCTACTATTGTGTCTGAAAAAATGGCTGTCATGCCCAGAAAACTAAAGTCTGGGAACACGGCGCATAAAAGCACACCTCCCTCTTATCTTTAATGTGCTTTCACCTGATGTGTTTATGAAAGGGAGCAGGCGGTTAGAAAAAAAGAAAGAGAAAAGTTATTTTACATTTTGAAAGATATACCTGTGGCAAAAACATCAAGCTATTAAAATGATTTAATAGCTTTTCTAGGCACACCAAAAAGGATGAAGAAAAAGCGTGAAGCGTGATTTAAAAAACACAGATCACTGAAGCGTATTAAAAGAGAATTTAGAATGGCTGAAAATAACATTTCTGATCTTACTTTAATTCTGCATTTGTAATCTTGAACACAATACTTCCACTTCATATCATGGAACAAACAAACAAAGTCTAAATCAATCGTAACAAAGAACAAAAACTCACACACATTACAGCTAAAGAAAATATTCTCTGTTTTTAGTGTCAAGAACACATAAAGAAAAAAATGACACATCGGCACAGAACTAAACTGTCTAAAAAAAAGAAACTATCTTTTGACCTCAGATAAAAAACAACCACAATGCTATATATATATATATATATGTATATATGAATTATACTAAATAATATCTTGCTTTGCACTAAGATTCAGTAAGTTCTGTAACTTACAAAACAAACCTAAATGGATATAACTGGCCTGAACACAATAACAACAGAATGCAATTTCTGAAGAGTGAAATCACTTCACTAAGTTTTCCGTGTGCTGTTTAGCTCGAGGGAATGTTTTTTTTTAATGCCAGCTTTACACATTGCATTTAATGACAGTGTTCCTCCAGCTGTCATCCAGCCTACTGGGAGTGCTGGAAATGCACTGAAGTTTTACACAGGCTGGTCAGGCAAATGAAGGACAATAAAGACAAGCTTCATTAGGTTCACAAAACCCTCACAATTACAAAGCATGCCATCTAGCACCAATAGGGCTGTATGATATTGAAGAAAAATGCGATATAGAATATTTTTTTATTATTTAACGAGTTATTGCATATGATAGTGCTTTATGTGTGTAAAATAAATTTAAATTATATTTAAAAACTAAAAATGATATAACCAACATACATGCTTCACATCCTTTTTGTGAGAAGAAAGCATCCCTATAATTTCTAAAAGTGAACAGCAGTGTTTTATTGTAGCATTACATAAAAAGTGTCATTTTAACGTCAGTGTACATTAGGTTTATTTATCAACAGAAATGTAATAATAAAATGTAAAATTAAAACACTGCTTAGACTTCACTGTATGAATTAAATTTAAACTGATTCTTGTTAAAGCTACAAAAGTTACTCAGTCAAGAGCAGTGAGTGATTTTGTTTGTCTTTTGATTAACATTAAGCACACAGACAGAAGCAGGATTATTAGGCTGCTGTCACTTTAAGAGCTAATGGACGGATCCAATATACCGTTACACTCTCAACTGTTTACTCCATTTAAGACATAACTGCCAGCGTTTACGTGAATACTAACCAAGATGGGCATTTTGACATAACTTTGTGTGTGTTTGGCCATATAACCGGCAGAAAAGAACTGAAATCGGGATTACGAGCTGTCCGAGAGGCGGATTCTTGTGCGTGTGAGTACTTTTTTTATTGCGCCCAATAACATTAAGCATGTCACACGTATGTAACAGTAATGTGTACAGTCTATTTTCTGCTGTCTGCATCAACCTAAAACTTAGATCTAAACATAACTTTGAAAACATCTGTAAATAATTGTTATAATGTTTGTCACAACTATTGACAAGTACTTAATAAAGAAATCCAGATATTTTCAAAGTTATATCCCCTTTTTGAAAGGATAAGACATAATTAAATATACTGCTGTCCATTTTAAATGAAGAGACTATTTTAGTTGTCTTCTTTAAGATAATATACACTATATTCTTACATTTCTATAAAGGCAATTATTTACTGTTGTGGTGTAATATAGTTAAATGCAGAAATTCAGATATTTTCAAAGTTATTTCCCCTTTTTTGAAAAGCTAAATAATTCCATAATCATATGGACAAAAACAAAATCACATTTTTAAACAAATAACGCAAAATATTGTTTCATATCTGATAAACAAAAATGTTATGGTTAAAATTTCTCCCACCATTAGTATGTGAAAAAAAAAAAGTGTTCATTTTGGATCCTGGTCCAGAATAGTGATGGATGGAGATGCTTTTGTAAGCTAAGTGTCTTACCCACTGCTTTACACGTCTTTGTAACTGGGTCCATCTCGTAGCCCTCGTAGCATTCACATTTGTAGTCGCCTTTGAGGTTGATACATATTTGACTGCAGGCGTCAGGGTTCTCACATTCGTCTATGTCTGGAGAGGACCATCAGAAAAGCATTAGTAACAGAGCAGAGATACACCGAGAACAGAGGCTTTTGTAGTGCAGTGTCCACAGACAAGATAAATGATGCTTTCAAACACCATCTGGGGATTTCTCTACTATCAATTTCAAAGTGATGACGCAGAGAGTAAACAAATCATAGATGTTCACAATGTAGGAACAACAGAGGGCTCTTGGGAAAATGGGTAAAATGTAGTCTTACACAGCATCAAAATGTTGGTATCTAAGATCAAATTCATGTTACCTCCGCAAGTCTTCTTGTCCAGGAGCTTGTAGCCCGAGGGGCATTCACACTCATAGCCGATCTGACGGTCCTTACATATGTGAGAGCAGCCGCCATTGCTAATGGCACATTCATTCAGACCTATGACAGAAAAAAAAAAACAAGAAAGGTGGTGTCAAAGGTCAGCATGCCTAGCAGGAATTGGACTGAAAGTACCCATGGCAACATTGACAGCAGCTAATGGTGGACTGCTTCTTTCAAGTTTTCTTGGTTGAGCTTCATGTTTGTGTGAAGACTTTATGAGAAAGTGATGAGGTAAGTGCAATCTAACTGAAAGACTGACAGAGTAATATGGCAAAGGTCTTGCCATTATTACACTCAATAACTCTTCTCTGAGCAACACATTTGGGCTTTGGGTGATGGCTCCCTCCATTACAGATGACAGGGAGAATACACATATATCACTTTTCATCTCAACAGTATGTCTGCTCTTACTGACCCAATAAAAAGCAACAAAATATTACCAAAATTACCACAAGAAGGTGTAACTTCTGTTTTATTAACCCATTTAAGACTCAACCACGGATTTACTGCAAATTAACTTCAACTTTTCAGCCTGAAACTTAAAAAAACCTTGTCCACAAATGTCATGTAAACAGCATTTTTTTTTTACAGTTGACATCTCATAGAAGAATGATAATAATAAATCTGATTAAACAAATATTTACTGTAGCAAGCAAATAATATATATATACACTACCGTTCAAAAGTTTGGGGTCGGTACGATTTTAAATACTTTTAAAAGAATTCTCTTCTGCTAACCATGGCTGCGCTTATTTGATTAAAAATACAACAAAAATCAGTTATAGTATTAAATATTATTCCAGTGTAAATCAGCTGTTTTCTGTGTGAATATATAGTAAAGTGTAATTTATTCCTGTGATCAAAGCTGAATTTTCAGCATCACCAGTGTCTTCAGTGTCAAATGATCCTTCACAAATCAGTATAATATGAGGATTTGATGCTCAAGAAACATTTATTATTATTATCAATGTTGAAACAGTTGTTGGTCTGTCAGTTGTAAATTTTTTTTTTTTTTTTTTTAGGATTCTTTGATGAATAGGAAGTTCAAAAGACTTTTGTAACATTATAAATGTCTTTACTGTCACTTTCGATCAAATTAATTATTCCTTGATAAATAAAAGTATTGATTTCTTTCCTACAAAAAATAAAAATAAAATTCTCACTGACCCCAAACTTTTGAACGGTAGTGTATATATATATATATATATATATATATATATATATATATATATAATGTAAATACACATCATCGGTCGGAAACCTTGTACCTCCATATTTAGTCTTTTTTCTTCTTTTTTAAAAATAAATCATTACAATCTTTTACATCTGTCTGTGGGTTTTGTAAATATTTAATCAATGAAAAGTATAAAAAAGAGGTTGTGACTAAACCTGAAAAACCTCGTCATAACTCCACCCCTGCTTCTATCGTGAATGAAGTGCTGCATGCAATTTGGACTGTCTCTACTTGTTTGCAATGCAAGGTAATAAAGACCTGTGTTCTTTGAATAAATACAGAGTTTTGAAACACTATAAAGGCTAATATTTTATGTACTTGAGGAGCGGAGAAGAGTGTCTTAATCTAGCATTTTTCGTTGAGTCAATACTGTCTTAAGTAGCCTGTGTGTGTAGCACTTTATTTTTAATAACTAACATGAGATTTTGGCCAAATGACAGAAAAAAATGAGCGTCCACATAGCAACAGTAAACTTTATAACCTGTAGGTTGATGAAAACGTAATATTTTGTATAAACGTAATATTCACTTACTGCCCCAGATGCGATTGTTCTAATGGCCGACAAATGGCTTATGTCCAAAATTCGCTGGTCAAAAACCACATAACTCCATTTGAGCTTGATTTTGGTAAAATGATAATACTATATTGAAACATGCAAATGTCTCACCATATATAAATCCACAATATCAATTTTGACAACGCAGTGTTTAACTATTTAAAAAATAAAGTGTTTTTTCCATTTCCTGAAAAGTAGCATTTTTGGAGGTGCAAGGTTTCCGCCCAACAGTGCTGATATGAACTATTGTTTATTAAAAGTGGGTCGCAGGATGACTTAAAGTATTTAAATTAACTAACTGTAAAAAATACCGCAATCACATTTTTCTCTCCCTCACTTACTATTGTTTTTATTGAAGAACATGCAGGTATTGAAAGTTCTGAAATCCCAAAATTAACCATGATTAATTCATATACCAAAACTCCCAGTGTCTGTTCATGAAAACATTTTAAAACAAGCAGCTTTGCCATAAAAAATGGCAGAAATACAGAAATAACTTAATATCTTAGCCTAAATGGGGGGCTTTGAATATTGTGTTGGACAAATGGGGGGGCTTTGAGCCAAAAAGATTGAGAATCACTGATTTAAACTATTATTAATGTCTTCATTAAATATTTACTGTAATTTACAAAGCCAATAAAAAATAATGAATAATTTGAAACTAAATTAATTAATTAATTCATTCTATTTGTGTGTGGATATTAATGTGACTGGGTGTGCACGTATAACACAAGAGACACATAAACCAGCCTGACAGAACAAAAAAAAAGACGAAGGAAGAAAAGGAAGAAAGACGACAAGAGAAAGGGAGAAAGAGAAGAATAGCTGATGCTAATGCTGAGGAACAGCTGACAGAGGGAGATAGACGGAGGACAGGAACATCACAGGGAGTTCAAGTGAAATAGGGGAAAGAAAAGACAAAGTAGAATGAAAGGAGACAGGTTGAGAGAGGAGGTAGGACAAAGACCTGGATAGCGAGCAAGAGAAAAGCACACTCAAAAATCGAGTGAGAGACGCTAAGCCAGGAACATTTTCTCCAGGGCATATATGAATCATGTATAACAAGTAAAGGATGCACTATTGAATGTGGTATAAGCGTAATCCCTGGCACCAGACCTAGTGATTTAGCATGCATAGCTGCAGTGGCCCACTTGGAGCCGATCCAGAGTACACAGGGCTCAAAGGGGGTATCTGTCGTGCGTTAGGTGCCTGTACTAATCTCATCTGTTGAGTGGAGGGAGGAACAAGGAAATTAAGACTACACTGAAGAGCCACTGTGGGAAGATGTATTTTACATTAAAGATTGATACAAGAGTGAACATAACCAGGGAAAGAGAGAGTCAAGCAAGGAGCTAGCATTTCCTAAATACCATATCGATCACATTAACATTCGGATGAAAGGTGTTAGACAACTATTTTAAACATTTAGCTATTAAGATATTTTTCTTGTAAAGGTGAAGTGTGCAATATACGTCATAGCAATACTAAACCAAACTGCCAAAATAACTCGATTTTAAAATTTTATGAAGAAAACGTGCGTGGTTTTACCACTGTACACCTCACCACCACTATTTTACAGTGTTGTGGGTGGTTGTTAGGGCATTGCTGAGCAGATAAATATTTTGAGTAGTTGTGCTTGCTAGCGTAGCGTGTTCTGGGTGGTTGCAAGGTGACTACACACACACTAAAAATATTCTTGTCACTATATGCTTTTTGTCTGAGCCTGTTGCACAGCAGAATACTGTTTGAGAGCATCACCATGTCATGGTTTTATGTAACAGCCGCAGTTCTGGGCATGTGACAAACAGCACAAATCCTATTGGTTGATCAGTGTTCTTTGCAGTGTAATGGAAAATATATTAGAACACCTCTCCGTAAAAAAACTCTCACATTGACAGTCTGAACAGACACATTGCTGGCTGTTCATTCAAATAAAAATGCTTATCGCACCAAATTTTCACACCAGGTTTTCATCTTGTAGTGAACAGACCTTTAATCTTTGGGACTTTTTCACTCATTTGATTGTCTTCCAGTCAAAATTATGAATAAGATTGCTTAGGAAAGTATGTAAACTTTTACAACAGGGTTATTATAGTTAACTAAAAGTAAAAGTATTGAAACCATTTTTAATTTAAATAAAATAAAAAATATTAGAATGAAACTTAAGAAATGTTGCTTTGACTGAAATTTGAAGTTGAAGCACTACAATTACTATCTGTAAATAAATAAAAATTAAACCTGAAATAAATATAACTTAAATCAAAATAGTAATTAAAATCACCCATAGCAAAATTAGTAAAAATGTAACTAAAATGAAATTTTAAAAATGAAAACTGAAAAATCAAAAAGTAAAAGCCATTCAAAATGTAAAATACTAATAAAAACTATAATTGAATACTAAATCAAATACTAAAATAACACTGCTTTACAATAAGGCTAAATATGACAAATAGATGCATTCGTTATGATGAACAAACAACGATTCCATCTGCCATCACTTGCGCAAATAGGTAGTTGAGCCAGAATTTGAGACCTTAAACAGCTCAAACAAAATGAGCCCCACTTAAGCATTTACACTCTCCAGAAGAATGCATTTTAACATAAAAAAAAATACACACTCCACTTAAAATATGGCATTTTCAGTTACAACTTATCACTGAAGAAAAAGTCCACTTCCACAGTGTGATGAAAGATAAGAAAATAGAAAAAGAAAAAATAGATCTATGGGAACCTGCTTTCTCTCTGGAGAGGAGGAGAGCATGCTGGGCACGTTTCACCATGTATGATTGTGCCTGAGGGAAGACTCACACTTTGATCAATGATCCCTCTGTGGGTTGTTGGCCCTTGATCAAGTGAAGCCCCTAATAAGCCAACACTGCTATAAGCTTAAATGCTGGTCTAGGATCAGTTTTCCCTCTCCAAATTCAACGTTACTAGTGAGAAAGATAAAGCTAACCCTATCACTGGCTGCTGGCAACTTCATTTGCCATACACATATGAAATGCAATGTTTTAATTTCTGAAATATTTTAAATTGTAAAATTGTATCTTTGGCTTTCCACACTAAAACAATAAAGTAATCGTTATCACACAACTTACATAAAAGTCCTATACAACAAAACAAACAACAAAATAAAATAAACTCATATAAAAGTCCCAAAGTCTGAAACTAAGTAAAATATAACTACAACAATAAACTATTGTTTTTACACATTTGTGTATTTGTGCAAAAGTGGCTCAACTCACCGCACTCCTTCACGGGCTCATCAGACCAGTCCTTGCAGTCCTTGATACTGTCGCACACTTTGCTGCTTTCAACACACTCCCCGCTCTTACACATGAACTTCAGTGGACCTTCACATTTGGTGGCTGTGAAGGACACAATGATGTATGGAGAGCACAAAATATGAAACGGCGTTAAACAAAACACATTTTCAAATGACACTCATTGCATGAATGTTCATATTGCACTTTGCCATACAATAATAGGCCGTGACAAGAGGCTGTCAAGCTCAAAACAAGTACATAAAAGCACCATAAAAGTAGTGCATGTAATTTAAAGACTTCCTGTGGTAAAAATCAATGTTGTTTATATGGTGTTTATAATATGCTTTAAGACAAACCATGTGCAAATTCATAAGTCAATACCATTATGAGTATTTTCTCCTTAAAACTGCAGTGAAAAAAAGACGGTCTCAAAAACGTGGTTTGAAATTGTCGGTTTACCTTACGTCACAAAATATCTTGTAACCAATTGTCAACGTGCGGGCGGGCTTTAGCATTTCATCATTAACTACTTGTATAATTCACCCTTCCACTTCTTCTGAATCATTTCTGGTTCAAACATACACTCACCGGCCACTTTATTAGGTACCCCATGCTAGTAACGGGTTGGACCCCCTTTTGCCTTCAGAACTGCCTCAATTCTTCGTGGCATAGATTCAACAAGGTGCTGGAAGCATTCCTCAGGGAGTTTGGTCCATATTGACATGATGGCATCACACAGTTGCCGCAGATTTGTCGGCTGCACATCCATGATGCGAATCTCCCGTTCCACCACATCCCAAAGATGCTCTATTGGGTTGAGATCTGGTGACTGTGGAGGCCATTTTAGTACAGTGAACTCATTGTCATGTTCAAGAAACCAATTTGAAATGATTAGAGCTTTGTGACATGGTGGAAGTAGCCATCAGAGGATGGGTACATGGTGGCCATAAAGGGATGGACATGGTCAGAAACAATGCTCAGGTAGGCCGTGGCATTTAAACGATGCCCAATTGGCACTAAGGGGCCTAAAGTGTGCCAGGAAAACATCCCCCACACCATTACACCACCACCACCAGCCTGCACAGTGGTAACAAGGCATGATGGTTCCATGTTCTCATTCTGTTTACGCCAAATTCTGACTCTAACATCTGAATGTCTCAACAGAAATCGAGACTCATCAGACCAGGCAACACTTTTTCCTATTTGTAGTGGAGATGAGTGGTACCCGGTGGAGTCTTCTGCTGTTGTAGCCCATCCGCCTCAAGGTTGTGCGTGTTGTGGCTTCACAAATGCTTTGCTGCATACCTCGGTTGTAACGAGTGGTTATTTCAGTCACTGTTGCCCTTCTATCAGCTCGAACCAGTCTGGCCATTCTCCTCTGACCTCTGGCATCAACAAGGCATTTCCGCCCACAGAACTGCCGCTCACTGGATGTTTTTTCTTTTTCGGACCATTCTCTGTAAACCCTAGAGATGGTTGTGCGTGAAAATCCCAGTAGATTAGCAGTTTCTGAAATACTCAGACCAGCCCTTCTGGCACCAACAATCATGCCACGTTCAAAGTCACTCAAATCAACTTTCTTCCCCATACTGATGCTCGGTTTGAACTGCAGGAGATTGTCTTGACCATGTCTACATGCCTAAATGCACTGAGTTGCCGCCATGTGATTGGCTGCTTAGAAATTAAGTGTTAACGAGCAGTTGGACAGGTGTACCTAATAAAGTGGCCGGTGAGTGTATATGGTTGAATTAAACCAGTAGGCTATTTCCACTCGCCATTGTGTAGCATTTACTACAGTAAAGTTGGATCCCTAAAATGGTGTGAGTGAGTGGAGGCAGGGATCATTTGCACATTTATGGATCCGTGTACTAAATGAAGCAAGGGTGTAGAGTCACAGTCAAGCTATTTTAAGGCATGGATAAAAAAAAATCACAGGAAAAGACTTTTAAATATGTCATTCAAAAAGGGATACTGACTGACTACACAGGGACTTTAACACCATATCTCAAATCTTCTAAAACCATTTTAATAGCTCTGTGTGAAAAACAGACTAAAAATCTTCAAAAGATATTGGAACATATTGCATGAATTAAAAGTGACAACTTATTTAGTACTTATGTGTACTTTTTGGACCTTGATTGGTCACAGTACGTTTCAAAGGACAATACCGTTCAAAAGTTTGAGGTTGGTGAATATCTTATGTTTTTTTAAAGAAGTCACTTATGCTCACCAAGACTGGATTTATTTGATCAAAAATACCATAAATCTGTAATATTGTGAACAAGGATAACACTATAAATAAATGTTTTCTATTTTAACAAATTTCAAAATAGAATTCATTCCTGTGATAGCAAAGCTGAATTTTCAGCAGCCATTAATGCAGCCAGTGTCACATGACCCTTCAGAAATAATTATAACATGCTGATTTGGTGCTCAAGTCACATTTTTTAAATTATTATCAATGTTGAATACAGTTGTGCTGCTTAATTTATGTGTGGTAATCATTATCATTTTTTTTTCATTCTTAAATCTTTTGAAACATTATAAATGTCTTGATTGAGATGTTTGATCCATTTAATGCACCCTTGTTGAAAAAAAAAAGTACAGTAGAGCATGGGAGCACATTCTGTCAAACATCTTTGTGTTTCAGAAAAAAAAGCAAGTCATTTGGAATGACATGAGGGTAAATAAATGAGAGAATTTAAATTTGGGGGTTTTAATTTTTGCAACATAATTTATCCATACAGGAAATGTTCCAGGATAAACATTGTTTCCTGCCTGGTCTTGGAAGAACCTTCCTATCAACCAACCATAGCCCTAATCCTATCTCTAAACCTAATCACAGATCGTTGATTGGTTGACAGGAATGTTGTTCCAAGACCAGCAATTGATGTTGATCATTATGTCCTACTTAAATCATGTTATGCATCACTAACCAGATACTCTATAGCCATTGGATAATTCATCTTTTGAGGTGAATTTGATTGAAGCTGCCATATGGGAAGTGTGCCCTGAAACTCTGGAATCATGTAGGAGTACATCTGTTTGGTCTTGTAGTGCTTTGTGTGAATGCAAACTTGATTGGGGCTACATGATTGGCCGGGTGCACTCTACTCTTTCATCTTCACTCAAAATGCGGCTAAAAGAGGCTAATCAAAAGAGAGGGGGTGAAGAGAGAGGGAGACTGTTGAAGTTACTCACTTTTGTTGATGCAGCCAGCCTCGTCGCTGAAATCTGGACAGTCGTGCACTTTGTTACACTGTTTAGTGCCGTGAATGCAGGAGCCGTCGCCACACTGGAACTCATCAGGACGGCAGGTCAGCACAGCTGTAAGACAGAAGCACGTTTATGTAGGACTATCAATCCTGTGGTCATTCCACCTAGTGTCAGTTATCTACTGAATTAATCTGACAATCAGGTCAAAAGATGCAGTGCAGGTCAATTTTGAGTAAATAATTTGAAAGTAAATTGCATCAGGTTTTCAAAGAAAAATTAACCAGCACAACTGTTGACAACAAGATCAATACAGTACACAGAACATGTAGGATGTTGGAAAATAACAATGTCTTTTCTGTTAACCAAATGCTTTTTAATATTCGCTATTACTTCAATCCAAGTGAACAAGCGCGCCGTTATTTGTTGCTTATAGTGTGTGTTCAAGTAAGCCAGAAATGTGCAGATTCTGCGCAATACGCGGTATTTAATATATCACGAGGACTCACGAGTAAGTTGTGTATTTGTGCTAAATCCGCGCAGATTTGGCTTACATGAACTTCCCCAGCAAAGTGAGTAAACATAGAAACACGCCAAATTGGCTAGTGATTTGACAGCGTTACCCGACAAAGTTCATTTTTACCCGCATTTGGCGGGTTGGAGGGTGTTAATTTCAATCCCTGAATGTTGCACTCCTGTTTGTCATTGTGCACGAAACTTCACGCAAATAAATCATCAGAATTATTGCTGACTTGTGCGCGTCTCAAGTGCCCTCTTTACGTTCGTCCTAATGCCTGTTAGTTGTCCGTGGATTTGCCTATTTTTGGTGTTGAAAATGGAAACGTCTTTAGACATGGAAAATCGATTTTTACAATCGATTCAATGAACACTTATGTCTCAAAAATCGAACAGGATGTTTTCACAAAAGTGACAGCCCTAATTACAAGTAAGTTACGTAATCAGATTACTTTTATCAAATAATGAGTAAAGTAAAGCATTACTTTTACATTTACAACAAAATATCTGAGTTGATCTTTTTCAAATAAGTAACAGAAGTTACTTTGTTTTCTCATTTATTGACTGACACCTCTCCTGTCCACATGTTGAGAGAAATGAGGAGTAAGTGCAGAGGCATTGTGTGGCTGTGTAAACAATGCTTATTGCAGTTCTAGACTAAATGTAAGCATACATTTACTCATCTCACTTGCACAAAAACAGATTCAGTATTCCTCAAAATGAATAAAAACTGTGAAATGCAAACTCAATATTATGCAAACCTGCAATAATTACATTTTAAATAACACTAAAATAGTTTATGTATTTAATCTTACTCTTGTCTTTGCTGCTGACATTCAATGATCCAATTCAACCATACAAATAAGCAAAAAGTTTGTTAAAGTTGTGTAAACAATTTTTTTATTGCTACGCCCCTCTATTGTGCAGGCGTGAATTTGTATGTCCTTTTGCCTGACGCTAATAAATATCAGTTTTGGTTAGAAAGGGCCTTTACATTTGCCTTTTTTAGAACATTATTATTATTATTTTTTTTCCAGAAATTATTTTTACAAAAAACAAGCAAGTCCAGCCCAGAAGTCACAAAGTAAGGTAAACGTAATGTAATACATTGTAACACAATTTGCTACTTTTTTGGGAGTAAAGCAATATTGTAACGCATTACTTTTAAAAGTAACTTTCCCCAACACTGAATATAAGTCTCTTTGGATAAAAGAATCTGCCAAATAAATAAATGTAAATGTAAAGGACTAAGGTAAAGCCATGAGATGAGTTGTCAGGTAAAACTGTCAAATAAAAACATGCATACTAAAGCACTCACCATCAAACTTTTATAATAATCACCCATCCCACATGCATGTACGTGAAGCTTTAGTTGTAAAACAGCAAATGGTTTTGGCTTTTACCTCCTGTCAGATCTCAAAGTAATAGCTTATTTGCAATAGAGTTTCCTCATAAAAAAGCTCTGAACATTAAAAACAATCAGTCACTTACTTTGGGGCATAAGGGATTACACCGAGGAAACAAAAATGTGCTGTTCGGCAAAGAAAGGTCTTAATTTTTCAGTTTCAGCTTTTAAAATCCCTTTAATCTTTCATACAGTGTACTTTAGAGGAGCTGCGGACGGAGAACATCCACTGCGATCAATTTCAGGAGAGTACATTATTGTGCATTTTGTTAACGCTGCTAATTTAACTACATTTCCAATAATGCACAATGTTACTTGTGTTTCTGAAAAAAATTCCAGTGTTAATTCGGTGAATACTGAAGTGAGTAAAAGAGCAGCCACGCTTTGTCCGTGTGTGTCGTACTTACCAGTCTGAGCAGTTATATTCTTTAAAAAAACACAATAGACATCATATACACTGCCACTATACACTGCATACTTTTGGCCTATATATTTGCCCTGCTTTCCTGTAAAAAAATATCTAACCATCCTTGAAACAAAATAGATTTGAGTTAGAAGCAAAATATTAGTTCAATAATATTAATCAGTTAAATTCTATATGAATGCATCTTACTTGGTGGCCACAAGTTTAAGTTGAACTACTAAAAGTACTAAGTAAAATAAAAATAAAACTGAACTCTTTTTTAAAAAAAAAATCAAAAACTAATGATACAAAAGAGCACATAATAAAAACTGAAAATATAATAATAAAAGGTCATTCAAAATATTACAAAAACAAAACAAAACAAAGGTTACACTTAATTTGAATGTGATGTAGTTACAATGTACTTACTCCAAATAAGTAATGAGTGATATTAATGAACTACATTAACACTCTGGGGTCCTTCATTTCAGGGTCACACTCAGGACCTTCGGGTCCAAATGGGCCGGAAGGGTGGGATTAATATTTATAAAAAAAAAAAAAAACATTATTATTTTTTTTTTACTTGTTTTTTTATAATATTTTTTCTTTTCTTTTTTGGTGTTTTGAGATCATTTCAAAAATAAAAATGATTTATAATTAATATTAATGCAATAATTATGACCCATTTTTTCCCCATTGAATATATATATATATATATATATACACATTTTTTTTTTTTTAAAAGCTTGATTTCATTTTAGAGTCAAGCCTAGGCCTCATGAAAGCAATTTTTGAAATGAGATGGATGCCATCTGGTGGACAAACTGAGCATTTTAAAAATTCAAAACCCATATGTAATCTGAATTTATTAGTGTGTATGTGTATAAAAGTGTGTTTGTGTGTGTGTGTGTGTGGATGTGTCTGTTTTGCACTGTTGATGTTTTATAGATTCATCCCTTCACTGTTGTGTGCCTTTTTTCTGGATTGTGGCTGATTTGTAGATTGTACGCACAAAAAAACTCTGTATTTTCACATTTTTGCCAATTTCCCATTCATTTCCTATGTGGGTCCATTTGGACCCGAAGGTCCTGAGTGTGACTATTTTTTTTACAACCACTTAGACTATTCAAATCCTGTCCCCAATTTTTTTTGAGTGTTCATATACCAAGTACCAACAAAGTCACCAAATTTCGGACCATTCCGATTCCAGTCCATTTGGGCCGAAGGACCCCAGAGGGTTAACTTTCTACATTAAAGTTACGGTTAGAGTTTGGTTTAGGGTTAGTTTTAATTATGCATAATTTACTGTTATATAGAAAGAACATGTAGTGAAAGATTTTGTGTATTTTCAGTTGACTATGTGTATTTTCAGTTAACTTTAGTCAGATGCATTTACATAGTTACTGTGCCTCAAGATGCAATCAACTGAAACAGTGTCTGTAAAGGTGTGAACCAAATGGCCCATACCGACGTATGGCCTATAGAAACTGATGGATGTTAATGCCAAAGAAACAACATTGCTCAGAGTAGATTGCAGTGTAGATCAATCTCCTGTGGGTGGTCCTAACGGTTTTCTATTGTATGTAGCCCTTTTGTCTTCAGGTATAAAGTTCTGTCACACAGACATAACTTTGGGTTAAGATTCTTTGAAGGGTCACTTGACATGCTAACATCGCTGCTGAAGGACTGTGCTACACTACTACCTTCAATAAATTCTTATCCCCACAAGAACTCTAGTCAAGCTTACTTATTTTTTGTATTAGAGAAATCGAATACATTGGCGAGCCACCCTAACGACCACTCGGCCCAATTCAGCAAAATCTAACAGTAGTAATGTGTAACCATGTCAACTCAAATAAAGTTTTACCAAAACAAATATTTTGAATACTTATACAAATAATACATAAGTAAGACTAAAATAACACCGGCAATAACATAAAAAACAACCTTTACCCGAAAGAATAACTATCTAATTTAAACCCAATAAATTATAATGCAAAATGACCAAAGTATGACTTTGCTTTGCATTCTGAACAAAAAGTATTTTGGGGAGGGCACACAATTCTCTACAGGAATCCTACAGTGAGACAACTCTGAGAGCACTCTGCCATTCCTCAAAACACACTTGTTGCCTAGCAACCAACACGATTCGGGCACATTACACTGCTACCACAGTAGTTTACATGGCACCCATGGACAAAGAACATCATTATCTCAAACACACACACATGCTAGAACAATCTGTACACATCTGTGGCCACATACCCTGCATTAGCATGCACATGAAAACAAACAATTTTCAACTGCTTGTTTTGTGTGTTCAGGATTACATTTGCTCAAACAAACACGATTTTTTCCTAGTACCTCATCGAGAAACAAATCTTTCAAATATAAAGTTATTAAACATTCACACTGACTGACTCTGATTCGATTGTATTATAAATCAATTAAAAACATGATAAATTACGATATGGAAATTAATTAATCGGCTTATTTGCATCTATCAATTAACATTTTCCAAAGACATTTAATTATTGTGGCAAAGGATTGAATGGGCATTACAAAAAGAGGCTTTGGAAGTCAACAGTGCAGCATGTTCAAAACAGTGTGTCAATCTTTGAAGTACTAAATCAACATGTTAAAATTACATTTCTAATTACACTTTAACAGACTGAAATAAAATTAATTTTACTAGCATTTTTTGAGAACATTATTTTAAGCAGTCAATACACTGACCTTGTGAGGCTATGAACCAAAAAAACTTATTCATTTTTGCCGTTATGTGTGCAATGCATGTTTGTTAACAGATTAGAATGAACATACAATAGGGGACTGATTCTAAATGAACAACATTTTTCATAAGTACACCGTATGCTTTACTGCTTTTCTAGCACGTGATAGTAATTTAGAATGAAAATAATGACATGAACAGCATGCATGCAGCATTAAGGAGGCATGTAATGCAGCCAAGTGGTAAAACTGATTATTAATTAAATTAATTAACTCATTCACCATGCAGCAAGCCTCTCCAATGTAAATACCTTAGGAAACATGTGCTTGAGAATGATAACATTGATCAGTATATTAAAGACATTTAGTGTTTTTGTACACTTACGACAGTTGGCCTCATCAGACTTGTCCTTGCAGTCTACATCCCCGTCACATTTCCAGTTAAGGTGAATGCACTCTCCGCTCCTGCACCGAAACTCCCCTGCAGAGCAATGGGGCTTTTGAGGCTCCGTCCTACGACTGCACCGCTCCAGAGATTCGTCCGACTTGTCTTTGCAGTCGGGGTCTCCGTCGCAGCTCCACGGCGCTGGGATACACTCAGAGTCGTTACAGCGGAACTCGTGCGGCCCGCAGGTACTGGCGGTGGCCGCCGTGCACTTCTCCTCATCGCTGCCGTCGCCACAGTCATCATCTCCGTCACATACGAACGTGGGAGCCACGCACAGACGGTTACGGCACTGGAACTCTTTAGAAGGGCAAGCCTTGGCGTCTGGAAAAAAGAACAGTGTACTTTATTAGCACAAAGTCTTAAACAGTCAAGTCTCATCAAAAAAGTCCCCTTTTCTCATAACGAACCATTCCTTATAAAACTTTATCATAATGACATTATCATTCTTCAGGGAATAAAATGGTCAAGAACAAGCTAAAGTCTCCATTTCAATGTTTTTTTTTCCCCCTTACATTTGTGTTTGATAATTGATCATTGAAAAGAGGATATTTGTAGAAATATCAGCATCTATTTCGGTCACACTTTAGATTAGGGTCCAATTCTCCCTATTAACTACGACTTTTGCCTCAAACTCCTAATTACTGCTTATCAATAGTTAGTAAGGCAGTTGTTATATTTAAGTACTGGTAGGAATTGGGTAGGATTAGGAATGTAGAATAAATTCATGCAGAATAAAGCCCTATTCGCACGGGATTAGTATTATCTGGTGACATAGTAATTTGTAATAATTGTGGAGTTTGTCTGTGATCTTAATCCCGTGCGAATCGGCCATGTCTGTAATTTGTAAAGTAAAAATTCCCCCGCAAATTACCTATTATATTTTGCCGAACACAGAGGTCCTGTGATAATATTAGTCCCGCGCGAATCGGCATCTCTGTGATTTGGCCGGATCGTATATCATTTTTTCAAGGTTTTTGTTTCATGTGCGCCTTTTTATCCATCTTTCGCGAAGAATGGAGGCTGGTTTGGAGTGTTTTGATAGTATTTTGGGTGCTGGGTCATATCGCAACTACACAATTTGCAGAAAGTGAAAGCTGAAAATCATCAGAAGAGCAAAAACAAAACGAAATATAGCTGCAAGCAGCCATTACCGGGGCCAAGCGCAAGAAGCGGCAACAGATGCCCTCATGGGTGGGAGTGGCAGATCAACTGCAGCAAGGAGCAATTAAAGACATTTTAAGAGAATTTTGGGCAAATGGCTAAAAAATCATACATACAGTAACATTTAAGATGATTTAATGGATTATCACTTTCGACCAATAGGTGGCGCAGTTACGAAATCGATGTGATGTGGTCAGAGTGAAGAGACAATGACACATACAAAGTTTGGTGTCAAAATGTCTAGGCATTGCAGAGATAAAGACTAGATGGAGATGAATGACATGTATAGCAGCATGCGGTAAGGAACTTTATTCTGTTTAAGTCATAATATATCATACAGCTAGACCTATAACGACAAGAAATTTCCAAGCCTATTGACGTCAAATCCGGGAGATAAGTCAGTAATTTCGAGTAAAATCACAGGCTTCGGTTATTCTGTGCGAATGCGCCTCACGAAATTCAGATGTGGCGGGGTAATTTTTAAATCACACGAGGTCCCCAGATAACACTAATCCCGTGCAAATAGGGCTTAAGACATTAATATGTGCTTTATAAGTACTAATTAACAGCCAATATCCTAGCAATATGCTAATATGCAACTAGTAAGTTAAAAGTGAGAATTAGACCCTAAACTAAAGTTACCTCTAATTCTCTTTAAAAACAAAATCTTGTAGTTTTATGGCCTTATAATGGCAATTTAAACTGTCTATCCATGTTACACCAACTTCAATTCATTCGTAACATAATTTTATCAAACTGAAAAAAGGAACCCGTTTCATGGAATGCCTATTAAATCAGTGGATAAAAAGATGGAATAAAAACTGTGGATTTCTATTTAACGCTGCAATATGACCAAACCAATAAAGTACCACTACAGTAAAATGACTGAATCGCACAGTAATGCTCACTGGAAATTTATGGCAAATGTAGCATGAGCTCTGAGCTATTCTGTGCTGATGTGAGCTCCATGACCTCACTGATTCAACTGTGATGACCTGAGGTTCACACTTCAGCCCCACATTGGCGACAGACACTAAATGGGCTTAACTGTGCTGTAGTAAACGCCTGTCCATTCTTTAATGGGGTCAACCACCCCGTTGGAATAACCGTCCTGAAGAGCTGTAAGGTGACTGGGTATTACATTCACGGGGGCTAGTTTTGTAAAAGGATTTGAAATGGCTTACGAGCATGTGATCGGATGCTAGTGTGTTTGAGCGGTTGGGATGGGATAGCAATCGATCCTGACTATTTGTGATTTTGCGTCGATAAACCTGTAAATATGCAAACTATCTGCAAAGAGCAGCTGGGGCTCATAAAACACTTTCACCGTCAAAATGGTGACATTATCAAAATTGTATTGCTGGACTCGAAATCAATGTTATATGTGCTGCTCACGGAAAGGTCATTCTTGTTGTTCATTGCACTTCAGTTGATTCGTATTTCACCACCTACGCTAGTTGTTTTTGAAGCCAATTACAATAATGCTCAATGAGATATGTTACTAATTGTGGTTTTACAAAGCTGATTAGCCAACAAGCATCTAATTGGCCAAAAAAAAAAAAAACGAATCAACAATGTCCATTAGGAAAGCAACCTCTACATCTGCTGTCAGCCACTCAAAGGTCTCTTCAATGACTATCGAATAGCTGAGGTGAAAGGGTGGAATAACATCTTCTGGAATGACAATCTTCTGACAAATTTGACACAGGAGTGAAATATGTAGATATCTATACCACTATCAGCTACTATAATTCTCTACCGTCAAGGTTAAGGCAGACAACAAACGTAGCATGTTGTTAAAAGAAAGGAGAGTGATTTAGTCTATCTTGTGTGTACAGAGCATGGGATGGAAGGTTGTGTTTGCTCTAAGCAGTGGGAGATTGGATTGGCTGACCCTGCTCTTCTCTTGAGGGAGAAGGGCAGCAGTGAAAATGAAAAGGGGCTCGGCCTATGATGTAGACACCAGCCTAAAACAACATCTTCTCAAAGAGCAGCAGAACAAACATGGATAGCTTTTTCATACACCATTGATCTTAGACAGTACTGTCACATGCTAGCTGGAATGAAAATCAAGTCATTCGGCTCTATACACCTGCAGAACATGCCAACTGAATGTATAAATTCACATAATAACTAAACCTACACTAAACATTAATTAGTGGTGCTTGCTAATGCCGAGTTCAGACTGCACGATTTTAGCCCCGATTTTGGCTCGCCGACAGGTTTTGAGAAATCGCCAACAAATGCCCGAAATCACAGGCAAATCGGTGCTCGTTCACGCGAGTGACAATCACGCAGTGTGAATGAGCAAAGACGCGATCTGAGAGAATCGCCGACGAGTCGCCGACGCCCGTGAGATATTTGGCATGCTAAATATCTGGACCTGTCGGCGATTCACAATCCTGCTGTGTGAATGTGTTCTGACTGAAAAATACATCGGCGATGACCGACAGCCAATGAGAGAGCAAGATACAGGGAGGAGGAGGAGGAGTTATAGACCAGAATATCAGTATTTTAATAGATAGGCCTATATTTACAATTATATCAAACAGAAACAAAGCACAAACATTTGCATGACCAGCAGCAACAGCAGGGCATTTGCAAAATTATTTATTTACCCCCAACTCTCTTTGCAAAACACAATCCTTGCTCCCCTCGTCTTCCCAACCATTTCCTGCATAAACTGTTTATTTATTTTTTCATTTTAGCTACAAATCAGTGCAGACAATTTGTAGGCTATCATTTGTAATAACAAATTCAGTGTCGCGCGTGATCTTCCGTTATTTCCTATCACTTCTCGCGTTTGTTTGGTTGTGAACCGTAGTTTGCGGACCAGGCAGAAGTTGTCGGCGATTCTTTCTTTTGTAAAGTCATGCAGTGTGAAACCTCCTGTCGCCGATTCATCGTGCAGTGTGAACACAGCAGCAACTGAATGTTACCCCAGATAGTCATGCAGTGTGAAAACAACAGTGACCCGATTATTTTGAAAATCGTGCAGTCTGAACTCGGCATAAGTATTACATTGATGAGGGGATCTGAGTTGTTGTGGGGGGGGGGGGATTTCCACCTTTTCAAAAGCTATAGGATTTCCACCTTTTCAAAAGCTATAGAAAACCGTATATTGTAGATAGTAAACACACACAGCTCTGAGCCAGACTGACTTCGTCATTCAAAGGCTACTGATATATGTCTGCTGTGTGGATTTTGATGCTATCTCCTTTAGAGGTCATGCACAACAGTGAATAGATTTTAAAAGAGGGAAAACGAAAAGCTCAAAGCAGGTCAATTGAATTTCACTGACCAACATCCAATACACATTCCCCGGGCCAACAACAGACAGGTAGTAGATAGGGCTTTCCATTAGCCACATCTCTGTGACCTTGAACCACACACAGGCAAACAACAGAGAGCTGAAATAAATATAGGAGAAGTAAATGTGAAATACATACAGATTTTCTGCCCCTGTGTTAATTGAGAGACATGGAATATTTGATCGAAACTAACTATTGTATAATAACAATTATATACAATTAGAAAATAATTAGAAAAATACCTTTTACAGTAAATAGCTTTTGATGCACACCACACTGCAGGACATTCCAACTTCCGAAAGTAGCCCATTTCATGATTTTTAAGTGACTCTTTCTATAGGTTATGTAAAACCCCAGGAGATGACTATCTTTGAGTTATTCATTGAGTCATCCACCCAAACTATTTGTTCAAAACACTTCATAAATCAGGGGACAAAAAAAGTAACTCTTTATGAGTGAGTCACTAAATCATCAATTCAATCAATAAAAGTTTGATTTATTCTGATTCACTACTGTGTGTTGCTCAGAGGTGCCAACCAAAATACCAGAGCAACCAGGATGGTTGATTCTGTTTTAGCTTTATTTGGAATTCTTTTCATTGGCAGAATAAAAATAGACAATATATCGAACTTAATAAATATTAACTTATTTATTGAACTGTTGTATAAAATCAATATCATACTTGCCATTGTTCTATATCTCAGAATCTCACTGAAAATTAGTGATACGCCTCAAGAACGTTCCTAACTTACTGTATATTTGTCTCTGCAAATTAAACTGTAATAGGAGAAATCATTTATATAGACACACTTCACCTTTTAAAACAATGCTGAAGAAGACTAGAACATA